ACCTGATATTTACCTGACGTTTTAATTTTTAATTAAATGGTAATATTGAGTATTTTAAATTACTTATGTACAGACTTTATGACTTCGAGGCATATGCTATACAAAAATTCAATTGTTTGGAACATTTACAGACAAATTTGAATCAGGTCAAATCAGTGTTTAGTACATCGCGTCTTTAGTACCTTCCTATTTCCCACAATGCCGCGCGTTGTTTACAAACAAGCGCGAAAAAATCCTCTAAACAAGGTACTAATTATTGTTGTGTACATCATCACATTTTAAAATTATTTGAATAAAAAGAAAACAAAGAAACACCGAATCAAAACTATATCTTTTAGATGCATCAACTAAAAATGTGCACATGTATGCAGTAAAGGCTTGGCTGGCTATAGTAGACAACTTGTTCCTGAAAGGTTTCTCACATATATGTACTTGTTTTATAAAAAAAACAATTAAATATAGCTGGAAGTTTATTTCTTTTTATATCAAATGACAAGATTTTATAAGTTCGAAATTATTTCAGTCAAACTTTTTCATAATATACCAATATTTTTAGCCATCAAAAAAAAGCGTGTATGAGCTATTAACCCCTAATTATAGGGGCCAGCCCCTTTTCGTTAATCAAATATGAAAGCTCTCGTAATTACCCACAACTTTTGTTTTATATTTCTTACCAAATTATTCTCGGTTTAAAAGTTATTACACAAAAAGTAGCAAAAATTCAATGAAAAAAAATTACTAAAATTTGCCGTTTTATAGCTTCTAAACTTTAAGAAATCAGCTATATAATTTTATCGTTGTGCACATCTACAATGTATTGGCTACAAGTTCTCCAACTTTCATGTAAATATCTTATGTCATTTTTGAGATTTTCAGTGGAAACGAGACATCAAAAATTTTCAATTAAAGGGCAATAACTCACAAATAAAGGCATGCATAAAAAAACTGAAAACAGGTGTAAATAGGTTTAACTACAAGCTATCTATCCTGAAAGTTTCATAACGATCAGTCCAAAGGTCTTTGAGAAATCGCCTGTCAAAAGTCGAGCGGGAAAAAAAAGAATAATAAGAAACAATAGAATAACAGTAGGGTCTTCCGAAGGAAGCGGAAGACCCTAATAATAAAAGTGAAAAAGAAACCTAAGAATAACAAGAAGGTCTTCCGCTGAAGACGGAAGACCTTAATAATAGGTAAAAAGAAACCGAAGAATATTGAGAAGGTCTTCCGTTGGAGACGGAAGACCTTAATAAAGGTAAAAAAGAAACCGAAGAATAATAGAAGGGTCTTCCGCTGAAGAAGAAAGACCCTAAAAATGATAATAACTAGAGCAAAGCTCGTTGCAAAGCAACGAGTAGGTCTTCCGACCGGTTTTGACCAGAAGTGCCGAAAGTGACATCAAAAAAGAAAGCAATGAGCTAAGTCGTCTCTAGTGACTTTATAATTTCAATTTTGCATCAAAAACCTTAAAAATAAGCTATTTTTTGCTACTTCCGGTTTGACCAGAAGTGATGCCGACGGACGGAAAATTAATTTTTATGCTCCCAGCGACATATGTTATCCAAAAACTTGTCAAGAACGGCAAAAATACGCGTTTTCCGACTACTTCCGGTTTGGCCGGAAGTTACGATGCCGGACGTATTTTGACGACTCCAGTGGATTAAGCTTGACATTTCAAACAACTTTGCTTCTTTGACGTATTACAAATTCTCAATACTTTTTGAGATATAAAGAAAAAACTTTCGGCCCCTCTAGGCCCCCCATTTTAGGGGCCAGCCCTTTTTTCGAGATATCATTTGAAAGATCTTGGAATTCTACACTTCTTTTGTTATACATGTTTTAACAAAATATTTCTAGGTAAAAAGCTATCGTTGAAAAGGTGTGAAATATTTTGAAATTCGCGAAAGGACTATTTTCGGGCCATAACGAGCTTCCGCACACAGCAATTTCGGTGAATATAAAATACGTTCCGCACAACTACATTTATTACTCTATTATCACTGAAAATTTCAAGTTTCTATCTTAAACCGTTTTTGAGAAAACTCGCGGACAAACTAACCCTCTAAAATTCACTAAAATGCAAAAATCTCGGAACCGGAAGTGACGTCATCAAATTAAAAAAATATATGTCTAGATTTTTTCATCTCCAATCAGCCCTGAAAATTTCATGAAAATCAAGCGAGCCGTTTCCGAGAACTCGCGTGCACAAAATCAGTAAGAAAAAAAAAGAAAAAAACTGGAAAAGAAACCTAAGAATAACATAAAGGTCTTCCGTTGGAAACGGAAGACCTTAATAAGAAAAGTGAAAAAGAAACATAAGAATAATAGAAGGGTCTTCCGCTGAAGACGGAAGACCCTAATAAGAAACAGAGTAAAAACAATATGTTCCCCAACTTCGTTTGGGGAACATAATAACCTATAAAATCATCTTATAATTTATTTTTATATATTATCTACATAATGACGTACTTTTATTGTGTAAGATAACATGTGCCTGTTTCGGATTAAGCAGCTCTAACAAAGAAGGTTCCAATTTGTGTCAAATAAATAGATATTTGCCGGATTTATAACTCATTATTTAACAGGCACCTAATTATTATCAGGTGTGCAAACAACTGTGCAAAATTCAAATGTCATGTTACAGAAGCTTGCTTAATTACAGGTTATTGTCTACACATCTTGCAATGAAATGTTTTGATTGAGAACTTATCCAGCATGAATACCAGCCATGTACCTCACCTGTCAGGACATTATTAAAGGTAAGTGGCCCTATCAGCAAAGAATCAAACAAAGCAAAACCTTCATCTTCAAAAGATTTACATCTAATAATAATCTATTTGAATTTCTGTAGAATGTTATGATACATACTATGAAAACCAAAAAAAAATATTTAAATCAGAATCGCTTTTATTTCAGTACTTTGTGACAGTGGGAAGATGTAATTTAAAACATGAAATTGCGCTATATTACTGCATCAGATATTGATCCAGGTTTACCTATAAACTGAAGGAAAACAGTAATGCATCCTTTCGAATTGGAGCTACATATGTCACCGCCTTAACAATATGCCTGCTTACATAACCAAGAAAGCACAGCGACCAGTTGTACCTTTGATGTCGGACGAGATCCTGAGAAAACTTCCAGTGCACTCATCACAACCTGCAAAGAAATGAAAATTTTAAATGACTTGTATTAACCCTTTTGTATTTCATCTGGCTTGTTTTTTAGTACTCATTAGCCTTTAGCTTCCTTCAAACAAAATTTCATCAGTACCAACTTGTAGGTGAAAAATGTTGAAACAGTTTGTTTTTCCCAAAGGAAATTCTCTTCCAATTAATGAATTATCAGTGTCGTGAGCATTTGATTGATGTCAGTTCCATCGGCAAAGTATTTATAGTGGAATGGTGCCAGATGAAACATTTTTCACAAGAACCTGGAAAAACATCAGGTGGAAGTGATCATCTACAAGAAAAAAAGTGAATACTTTCTTGAATACTAGAATTAACAATAATACAGTAAAACTCGGTTATAGCTAAGTCACTGGGACCTATGAAATTACTTTGCTACATGTATATCCATAATTCATTATATCCGTATAGGGAATTTTTAAATTTATGTAGGAGGGGATACGAGATAACTTTGCTATATCCAAGAATTTGCAATACATGTATCTGTGTTTATACTAAACAAGTTTTACTCATACTGTATAACATGCTTGTGTACATCCTTTATATAAAAAACTAAATACACATCTAAGTTGTAACTACCAAATATATAAATTAAATTAAATTTGTTCTGAAGTGTATTTATAGCGTATTAAAATAAGCATGCAATATTTGTATTGATATTCTTGAGAATTTTTAAGAAGAGATTATTCGTTGAAACAAATGTGCAAACATTCTGTACAGTTTTTATGCAGAACTTACTTATAAATGTTGAATGAGCATTTCAATCGTTGAAATGAATGTAAGGCACACAGTGTGAGAAAAGTTCTTGTAAATAAGTTAAATAACTTGTTATTTATTGATTTTTTTAAAGAAAATATAATAAAAAATTAAACTAGCATTTATATGCTCCCTTGATTTACCATGGTATGTGAGCTTTTGTGAATTTGATACTGAACTAGTAAGTTTAAAATATTAAAGTAAAGAAAAGTGCAGCCCAAAAATTTACCTTGTACCTGATTTAAAATGAATTCCATCAGTACATACTTGGAAGTTGTCATATGAGAGAACTATGAGATAAACTCCATTAACAGATACCAGTACAAAGATGACACATTAAGTTGAAGCATTGTCCTGTTTCCTTTTCCCCTTCCCTCTTAAAGTCTTTGAGTTTGTTTATGAAATTTTGCTTATGCTATTCTAAAATCAAAGGGAAAAACCTTAGGTGTTTCCTCAGTTTTATGGGGGCGTAATTTGCCCCTGCACTCCCGCCAGTACTTTTCCCTTCAATGCAGCCACAAGAACCCTTTACCTACTATTGCACCCCCCCCCATCCCCCGCTATGAAATTCAGCCGCTGCTCATAAATTCCTATTTTAGGGAAAAAAATGCCTGTCTCATAATTTTAAGAGTATTTGGGAATGGGGTCATAAAGCTTTACAGTTAATACAGAAATTGAAATTGAATGTATACGTGCCTGTGTACATGCAAGAAGTAATGATTGACATTTTTATTTCTGGATCAACAGGATAGAGTACATAAATAGCTCATCTACTTTATATCTACTGTTATGATAATTATATGCATAATATTATTAATAAATTATATAATAAATATTATTTCTATCAGGATCATGTTTTAATGAGTTATCAACCCTGTATTCGCGTGATGGATGCATTTGGGTACATGTACATGTATTTCCCATTTGTTTTAAATGACTTTGCATTCTCAGCTGATTCTACAGTACATGTATATCAGGACCTGATTCTATTGTTCCTTGAGCTATACACAACTTTTTCCCGCAATTACGTCATAGTTACAGAGTGTAGCCATCACATGTCACGTGATGCATCCGCCATTACAACCGTGAAACCCGTGAGCCGTGAAAGATGTATAAAGATGGAGGGGGCGAATCGTGTGCGGTATTTAACTGTTTTAACAACAGAAAAAAAATTTATTTGTGGAAGCATTCTATCTGCAAAGTTCACGGTGACATTCTCCACAAAGATTGTCCGTGCATTGTTCCATACAGCCTTCACAAGATGCCTAAAGCGGAGCCCGAAAAACTTCGATGGCAACGAGCACTGCATCGCAATGATTTGCCGAAGAATGTGTTTGTGTGTTCAACACATTTTATAGATGGGCGACCAACTGCAAGAAATCCCATACCCAGTCTGAATTTAGGTTTGTTTATGACATAAAAACTCTGCATACATAATGTTTAAAAATAGATTTGACATTGATGTAAAGTGAAAGTAGAACGATGCTTGCAACGACGCGTTCACAAACAAGGCATACTATTAATTTACTGTGTCTTACCACGTTTTGAAATAATTTGTAAATGCAAGCACAAAATATAATCTATAGCATATAGTTTACATGCCTTATATTTTTTCGGGTTATAATATGCACACTATTAAATTTTTAAAGAGAACTGTATGTGGGTTTCAAGAAAAAATGGTAACTTACTATATAGTTTGCACAATTTATGTTTATGCACAAGATACTTAGAATGGTAAAGGGGTCCTTTGATACAACCACACCCCCTTTAGTCATCTGTGCAGTAATCTACAAGTTAAATGCTGCTAGATTTTGTCTATTTAATGTGGAACATTATGTGAAAAATGCACCAAAAAAAACAACAAAAAGTATAAACCATTTATTTAAAAGGTTTCTTTCTGGAAGGAGGGGATACATCAAAAATGATTTTTTTTATAAGGCCAGCATTTTTTTATTTTTAGGTTTACAAACCCGCCGCTCAAGTTTTTGAATTTTCAGAAAAAAAATAAAATTGAGAAAAACAATTTTTTCTTTCCGAAAATTTATAGAAATTTTTTAACATGGCGGGTAATATTTGTGTCAAGTCCATAGCAGCACTAAAGCTTGGTTTAAAAGTAGGAGTGCCATTCCAAATGTTTCACCTGTTCAGAGAACAATAAAATGCTGACGACTTTGTTGCAAAACATGTTGGTGAGATTTATGTTCCGTATTCAAAAGTAACTATCTGTAAAGAAAACTGCCCATGGTAGCTATTTCAGGACATTGTTTATGTGTGTCTTTAAGTTAGCATCATTCTTCAGAAAAGGGTTGCTTATCACAGATGTAAAGAATAAAACTGGGGGAGAAGTTAAGTCCATTTGAGGAAGAAATAAACAATAGCCTAAAGAAATATATATATTTGCAAGAATATACAAATATATACAGCATGTAGTGCCATTTAATTGAAAAAAATTCCACCATAATAATTTTTTTTATGAAAGGAATTAGAAAATTAAAATTTTAGAACAATACTTAACACACATTAAAAACAAAAATGAAGATATATGATTTGAAAAATTGATCTTTAAAAAAAAAATCTGTATTTTGTCCAACATCAAAAGATTTATATCACTGCCCCCAACTAGTAGATGATAAATAAACAATTAAAGGTTGTATTTTCCCCTTTGTAACCCTTATGTGTCCAGTGCAAGAAGCCTGTTTGGAGAGGATAAAAAAAGAAGCAAAAATTAATGTAGAAAAGTCGATAATGTATCCAAAATATAATTTTTTTTTTTATTTCCTCCTCCTACGGGACTTTTTCATTCTGATGTTCTTAAAAATAAAAAAATGCTGGCAAGTATTAATTTATAGAAATTTTTTACAGGTTATGAAGCTCCCATAAAAGTTGGTCGTCGACTTTTGAAAAGGAAGTTTGTTGCAGAACAAAAGACGGATGGGTATGTGTGAGACCCCAGATAATGAAAGAGCAGTGATAAATATATATTTTGTATTGCTGCCATTGAAAATAACTTCAGAAAATTAGATATTATTTTGATATTATTTTTAGAGATACCTGGCAACAGATCATAAAATTTAAATAAGTTAGTGTGAAAGTTACTCGAGAGCCATCATTGTTTTGTTTTTTTTTTTAACTTTTATTGTAAAGGAAATTTCTGCTATCACTTTCTGAAAAGATGATTCGTACGATATGCGTATTGTTGAAACTCAGGATCATTACAGTCAATATATTCTTGTATCGTTACAACTTTATGTAAGGAATGAAGCTTATTTCAACTTACGTTATACGATACAACATAACTTTAGGCAGTTTACGCTTTTATAAACCGCACCAAATTATGTTATATCGTATAACATAAGTTGAAATAAGCTTCATACCTTTTAATTTAGTTTCAATGAAGATATGAGACAATTTTTCCATATTTTCCTTTGGTAAAAGGCTTCAAATATCGCATATTTTAAACGTTAACGTCAAGTGGAGTAATACATTTTTGACGTTTCAACTGACGTAGGCAAGTTATGTTATACAAAATGGATAAAACCATTTTACCAATCAAATGACATGTTACAACTAAAATTGAATTACTATCTATTAATAGAACTTGAAATTTATGATTTTGCTTTCATGTTTGTCAATTCTTGTATTATACTGTAAATCTTTTTGCAGGACAGAAGTTATAAAACAACAAAAACTGGCTGCTACTGCTGCAGATGAATTTGAAACCCTCAACATTCAGACTGAACCAAACATGACATCTTCTTCTGTGCAAACGAGCATACAGAAAGCAGATCTGCAGGCACACAGTGGACGGATCTCACACTGTGTGAACATGAATATGCAAACCATTCCTTGCAGGATAAAACACAAACAAGTTTTGTACTGCAATCACGTAAGTGCTGCTGACATAACAACTAACTCCTTAGCCTTACTTTACACAGGACTGCCATTAAAGACTTTTAGAACTCTTTTGCGTGTTATGGAAAGTTTGAACAACCCACTACATTTACTATGCCTGTGTCAGATAAGTCTTAACTTGAAATTTATGATTTTTGGTATATCTTTCATGCATGCAATATTTTTAATCAAAGACTCTCTTTTATGGCTTCAAAACTAAAAAACTTAATAGTTTGGCTTCCACGTGAAACAATTAGAGCAACCATGCCAAAGTCTTTTCGCTTTCCCAAAACAACAGTCATCATTGATTGTGCAGAAAAAACAAGCAAAAAACTTGAAGACCAGAGGAGAAACATACAGTCACTACAAGTCCAACAACACAGGGAAGTATTTGGTTGGTATTGCACCACATGGTCAGATTATGTTTATATCTAAGGGCTTTGGAGGAAGGTCTAGTGATAAAGCAATTGTGGAAGAATCTGGGATTTTAAATTACCTTCCTCCTGGGGATGAAATCATGGCCGATCGAGGTTTTACCATCGATGACCTTTCCTCTGAAAGTGAAACTTAACATTCCAGCTTTTACAAAAACTAAAGACCAACTTTCAGAAGAGGATGTTACAGAGACCAGAAGAATTGCCACGGTACGGATTCACGTTGAACGGGCTATTAGACGATTAAAGGTGTTCCGCATATTGAGTCAGATAGTTCCAGTTACCTCGGTGAAGAAACTCAGTAAATACTTGATTGTTTGTGCTGCATTGGTTAACTTAAGATCTGACCTTATCAAAGATGATGATGAGTAAATAATGATTATGGGGATATTATGAAATTCAGCTTTCACTATTAGGGGTGGGACGATACACTGATACATACTATTATCTAAGATACGGTTTACAATACATGCATTAAAATATTGGTTCGAAACATTTCACAAACAACCTTTTGAAATTTTTTTTTCATAAACTCAACTTGGTTACAGACTTTCATTAATCAATATCAATGTACATGACTTTTTAAGAATGAATCTTTAGTAAGTGTTCTTGATAAACTACACTACTATTTTAATCAACTTGTGTATAGACGTTTGGCAATATGTACAATTTATATTGTTTTTGTAAATTCCTAGTCAAAAAAATTTATGAACATCAAATAGTGATTTCAAAGCCCATGATTTGATATTGAAAAATTTGTCCATTTAAAGTAAAAAATATGAAATAAGATATTAATTTTTTTTTATTGGCTACATTTTCTAATTAATCAGATTATCAAGATCTGTATTGTATCATGTAGCATGCATCTAGATATGTAACATTATCATGTTGTATCCTAGATCTGTGTATTGTCCCATCCCAGGGCTATACACTACTGCAATCAGTTTATACCTGTCAATTTTGTTTATAATATCTTTGCATCAGCAGGTTGCAATAGGATATTATTTTATAATTATAATAACAATGTTTTCACATTATTATAATATTTGTCAATGTAATTTGCACTGATATTTGTTAAAAAAGATACTGTGCTTGGGCACATCATTTGTATTAAGGTAAAAACCATTCTGACTGATTTCTTAAATTATTGAGCATAACATGGGAGTGAGTACAAAAGTTTTATGTCTGACAAGTAATCTAAATTCACTTAGTTTCCAATCAATAGTTTGCCAAAATTTTAATATGTTAATTCAATTTTGATCACAGTACAAGTATTTTTTATACAGAAAAAAAAACGAATTTCTTTTGTTCATTAAAAAAAACAACATTGAAACTCCATTAATGTGAAGTTAAGTACCGGTACATTCATGCACACTTAAGTCTTTGCATGTCGGTCAACAAATACTGTTTAAGCTTCTTGACCTCCACACTTCTATTAACTATTTGAATTTACTTTTTTATCAGACATTGACTTTTTGATGTCGCTGCGCACCAAACTTTTGAAAAAAATGTGTACATATTATATTTTGTAATAAATGATTACCCCAGAATGAAAAGATATTTGATTTTTATGTTAGAAACAAGTTTTATTTGCATCAGTTTGAAAATTTTTCATATTTTCTACTAATCTTTAATCTGCCAGATTCAAAGTCATCAACTACTCTGGGTAAAAGTTTGTTGAAGTAAAATAAACGTAACCTTGAAATTGATGATTGACAGAACTGTTGGTTATGTTGAACATTAATGATCTTGTATTCATTAGCTGTCCATATAACAAGTTTGCACAATTCTAGATGTGTAACATGCAAAGTCAATTGTATCTGAAGATAATATCCTCGTGAACTGCTCTGCTTTAGGGACAAAGAATCATTTTGCAATGATTTTACAACATCATATTTACCAGCTGTAAATAAACTGTCAAGGGTCTGGTCATTTTGTAGTATTGGGCATTTTACTTCTAAAAGACATTGTGTGCCATTATCATCAGTTATTATTCCGTCGGGGAAACACTGAGCCAGGGATCTTCACCTGAAACGATGGTCCCTGCATCTTCTATTTGTATTCCAGCCAAACGCAGTTGTTGTTTTGCAAGCTTTTCACCAATCTGTCCATGTTTTGTGAATTTATTGCCTTTAAAGGAAGGATATAAATGCTCTCTAATGAAGTTATCACTATTTGTAGTGTCACGGATTGGAACCTTGTGAGCAGTGCTGCCTGTTATTCTAATTTTTCTACTGTTATGCCACAGTTCTGATTGACTTTGTGAAATAGTTGTATGAGATAAGAGCTTGATTTGAGATTAAGTAAGTTTTATATACTTGTTAAAAAATTGGCAACACTTTTTACATGTTAGTTCTGCAGTGTTCAGTATGAGGCTCAGATGAAGGTTTGAATTGAAGAGTATCCACTTTAGCTTGCACAGATTTTTTTAAAAGAGAATTCTCTACTGAGAACAATTCCTGAAGTTCACTATTTTGTACAAAATATTTAAAGGATTGATGGGATACAAACATGGGGAATATTGATTTTGTGTTTTGTGGTTTTTCAGCATTATTGTTAACGTCACTACTGCTGTATCTAGGTTTTTTAAAATCCATCTCCTCAAGGATACCTGGTTCCAGGTTTCTCGTTGAACCCTTGTTCCATTGCATTTGTTCATCGGTACAGGATTTGCCTGTTTGTCCTGACCTCACAGCATATTCTATTTTCCATAACACAGCACCGACATGACTACACGTTTTACTGTTCCCTGCCATACATGAACAACCAGCACTAAAAATCGTGCCAACCATGTCACATATAATCCATGCATTATGAAACTCTGAGTTGACTTTTTGTGAGGGGCGTACTTCAGATTTTAAAACAACTGTTGTTTTGTTGATAACAAAATGTAGAATTTTCCCCACGGAACCACTTTTAAAATAATTGAAACTGTCCAAAGATTTGTAGTTTTTCATCCCTTGGCCATCACACGCCTTACTCAAAATTAAATAATTGTAAATATCGCCATACTCAACTTGGGGCCACTCCCGTATATCGTCCTTCCATTCTTGTGGTTTGACATCTTTTGGCGAGGAAATAATTCGATCTTTACAATTTTCACATTGATATTGGTTCATATTTAAGGCAAACGAAAGAATTTACAAGATTTTCATATATTAAATGTTGTTTCTGCGCCAATATTTACGGTTGAACAGTTCGTAGTTTCACCGGTGTGTTGTTGCTACGGAGTTTGTTTATAAATGCAGCGTCACGGATGCAATGGCGGCTGCTCTCTGCGACCCCTATCGGGATGAAATTTTACTAAGGGAAATAACTGAAAAAAGTTGTGTATTGTTTTGCTCACAAATTAATTTATTTCACTTATCTATCAAGTAAACTTTAAGAAAAATTGGAAAAACTGAAAACTGGGTAGTTCGAATTTTCTTGGTTTCAGTGGTAGTCTGTATTACAGGGAGCATTCATTATTTAATTTTGTAAGAAATTCAAATAGGTGATATCACCTATTCATTTCCAATAGCTGATATCACCTATTTGAATAGGTGATATCACCTATTCGAATAAGTGATATTGAAAATGAATAGGTGATATCACCTATTCGAATAAGTGATATCACCTATTCGAATAGGTGATATCACTTTTTGGCAGTAAATACCAAAAACGGCGCCCCATAAACTTTGGGCTAGTTTGGTAGATTATTAAGCACATTATTGGTATTTCTTATTTTACACCAGACTTGATCGAATATAGCTTGTACATCCCCCTTAAAGAAGCCATTCTAAGTAGTGAAAAGATGCCTAATCCGGGTTACACTCAGTGAACAATTTGACTCCCAACATAGTTTACTACTACATATATGCATGTGGACATTTATCACATGCTTGTGATGAAAACACTCTACCTTAATTTGGCACCAGAGAAATATATTTCTTTATGTGCCTGTGATAGTTACTTGGCACTTCATTATGATGTTCCTGTTATGTACTATGATGCCCCTTCCATGTGGACTCATGACATGCGTTTGCGGTTGGTAAAGATATTGGATCAACAAATAGCGGTATGTAGATGAATTGTAAGTATTTCTCATAAATATATGAATTGCACCTTTAACTTTTTTTTAAACAATTCAAGTCAGCTTTACTATGCAAGTATTTGTTTGTCAATTATACTTTGCTTTCAAGGGGGGGGGGGGGGGTAAATCAATTCACACCTTTATGTATGGTAGTATGATTTTCTACTGATTATGTGCAAAACTAAAAGCATTAAACATTTTTCATTATAAGATTTGATACAATAAATATATTTACTAGCATATGTACATGTATACATTGTCCCTTTATGTACATATTTAGGCATGCAGTCTTATTTTGACAGGAATACAGATTGTAAGTTACATGCAGTATTTTTTTCTGAATATTTACTTTATACTAAGTTCATTAGAGAGCTGTTTAAATGGTAGAGCAGATCCACCCTGTGTGCTCGACTTTCTCCTGGCGCATTGATGTTTTGGACACTACACAAAGTTTTGCTATTGGTAGCATAACAGTATTGAAGATAATTAGGATTCATTCCAGCACCATGGTGGACATCTCTTTGTTGTGAGAAAATGTACTCAATGACATCGCTGTTTATGAAGCCTGGGTAACAGTGTACTTGATCTCATTGATTATGATGTCTGAAATCCATGAAGGAGAAATTTTACAT